CTACCAGGTAGCTAAATCACGCCCATTCAGGGCTTTGCAAGAGAATTAAAACTGATCTGCCAAAGATGTGGAATCAGAAAACACAGCATAAAACATCTCTATTATCTGCGGAACACTCTCCTTCACTGCAAGACAGAGTTAGCCCTCTCTCAAGGATCCTAGTGAGTGCCGAGCAAACCATAGAAGCATGTCTGCTAGAAGTTCTGGACACAGGGAAGACTAATTTTAGGGCTCAAGATGACACACAAACATTGATTCTTCAACATACATATTCATGATGTGGTTTCAAAAGCTAACACATTTTAAAATATATAGATATATTGCAGGCTTGATATAATGGTATTCCATGTTTATTGATAACCATAACTATCATACTCAGTGTACAAAATTGCCAGGAGATATCTTTATCAGGTAAACATCCAGTGGATTTCTTCCGGGCAGGTACTGTGAACCTGCAGTAGCTCTTAGAAGGCAGGGTTAGCAGGAACTAGGGAAAAGTTCTGCTATATTGAGGTTATAAAATTTTCATTGTCTTTCCCTCCAGGTGACATAGAAAACAGATTGGAATAAACTTTGACAATCTAGTTAACATACTCAAACATTTGCCACAAAATTCTTAGGAAATTGCAAATCTTTAGGCTCACCCCAATAGCACCATTCTTGTGGCATTCTGATATTCATATCCCTGAAGGGTTCTCTCAAACCGAATAACTCTATTACTGACAGAAAACTTTATATTTACTGTATAATGTACTAATATGTAACATACTCTTACTTACAAGGAGGTGGTAAAAAGTTTTGCCACAGAAGAACTTTTATCTCCCAGTTTATTACTTGATAATTCAGTAATCTATTGGATTTTTTCTGATGCCATTATTATTAATGGGAATATTTGCACTGAGCCAGCAATCCTGCTATACATGTTAGGGACATGTTAGGGCAAGATTCCCAAAATCTGAAAAAATTGCACCAAATAATAATTGGAGTTTAAATGTTCAATGATTTCTAAAATGATGGTTGTACTCCTAAAAGGCAAAACATTATTCTTATTCTGGGTGAAAAGAGACCACAAGCAATAGCTTTTAATTCATAACTGCCAACTTCTCCAGTGCTCTAGTCAAGTATAAGAGATTCTTATATTCTTATATAAAAAAAAGAGTTCATATTCAGCTGGATGTTTCTTTACAGATATACAGACAAAAGGCCAAGTAAAGAGGTTCAAAGGAGAAAAGTGTGAGAGCAGAATATGCTACATTCAGAGTATTTCTCATACTCTGAAGAAGAATATAAAGCAATATAAAGCAATAGGTCTTGTGCTTGCATTTTGATATAAAGTCTGATAAAATTCTGATTCTAACGTTATCTTGGTCTGAGCAAATTCAGTCTGTTAAGCCAGCCAGGACTGGCTAAACTTCAAAGATTATATTTTTATAGAGTATAACAACCTAAAAATTGCCTCAGATTGTTCTGGGAAAAGCTGTAAAAGAATAGGTTCATGGTCTACAAACCCTATTACTGAGAGAATTTGTGTACGCTTCCAAAAACATGAGCAAGCAGTTGCCTCACTTCACTTGGATGGAGGTTCTCTTCTTCTAGGCACTGAGATGATAGAGTCTAGAAGCTCCTTAGTAATGTTAGCAAGATTTGGGGCCTATACTAACATATTCTGCACCCAACAAGACTTATTAGCTCAGACCTAATGCTGTGTTGAAATAAATTACTGGGTCTCAGATTGAGCTGACTCACAGCAAGTGGGTACAATAAACTCACTCCCACCTGCTGCCTCCATGGAGATGCAGTGGTGAAAACACCCTCAAGAGGGCCCTTACATGGCAGTAGACAGAATTTTATAATAGATGAACTTTTTTTTTTTAATAATCGTTGTATGAATAGTCACAATTAAATTGCAACAAAAAGCTGTATTTAATCAACCCCCTTTCAAAAATTGTTTTAATAGTGAAAAGCAAAAAGAGTTGGCAGATTGAGAATTATCTACATCATTATAATTAAAGGGAGCGACTCTCATGCTAGAACAAAAGAAAAGAAAATTTAAGCAAATAAAGACGAGCCAACTCAGAAGTGGGTTACTGACAAATTAAAGCTGCTGAAATATGCTTGCAGGAAAACAGGGAAGGGATTAAAAAGCAAACTCCTGTGGAAAATCTGCTATCTTATTCCAGAAAAGCAGAACCAATTTTAAAGAAGGACTTTCAAATAAGAGGCAAATTGGCAACTTCCTAAGAAAGAAGGAGATAAGCTATAAGTAGCTTGGTTTATCAAATGGAAATTTGGATTCAAAAGGGTACACTGAAACAGAAATAACAAAAACAGGGAAGTTTGCCCAGGAGTGAGCCTCTGGCTTATTTGTAGGGTAAACACAGATCAAAGCTTGCCAAAACCAGAGAGTATTTAAGTTCTTAAATACAAGTGACAAAATCGAACTTTATTTTTAGCTATTAATTGCAGCACAAGAACTACAACAAACAAAGTTTGATCTGAAACACAAAGAACTGTCTCAAGGAAGTTGATTCTGACTTGAGATACCATCCTGTCCTGGTTTCAAACAAACAAACATGCCTCCACTGATTTCTGACAAAATTACAAAATGACAATATACAGTGATAAAGACTTGCTCACAAGGAGCTCAGGCTTCAAATAGGATCTTATTTGAGCAGTTACACACTGCTGTGAGTGACAAGGTGGAGAAAGAATCTGTTGGGGAAGAGAATACATATGGCAAGTAACATACAATTTTATGCAATCACTACATGAGACACAGGTCAGTGAAACTACCAGCAAGGGCGCTCTCAAGGAAATCACAAGATAGCACAGAAGCAAAGTAAATGCACTTCTTCTAATTTACCAGAATTGGCCTGAGTACACTATCAAGAGTGCAAACAGCTTTACTGGGAGTAAAGTTTAGTACTGCCTGAAAAGGAAACTGCAACATAGCATCATGTTTCTACAATTCCCATCTTCCAAAGCACTGGCCTCCAAGCATGTTGGAGTCAGTGTCACAGTATTAATGACCAAAGGACATTCTCTGAAACATGCAACGAATTAACATAAACAGGAGATTTCTTTAAGCTACTGTTGGAACCCAGACCATTCACTCCTGTTTGAATTAAGCTTAGATGACACTTTTACTGCTCCCTTGGTATTGCACAGACAAGTAAAAATACTTGACTGTACTTTTCTCTATCCACGTGAATGTTTCCCTAGCCATTCTCCTTATCTCCAACTGGAGCTTTTCCACTTTGTACAATTTAATTCAATCCTCATTAGGCCGTTATGAAAGACTGGGTGTACAGATCTGTGAGAAAAGAGAGAAGGAACTTCAACACACATATTATTTATATAGAGTGTAGAGGTTCCAACCAGAAAGGTTGAAAGAATCAGTCTAGAATAAAAAGCCGAGAGCCTCCTATTGGACACTCACTTGGGATTTTACAAATTGATGCTACACTGAATGTAAGGTGACTTTATTCTCTCACAGCTATGTAATCTACCTTATCATCTGTGTTTTGTCTTGAAGCCTGTATCAAAGCTATGCATAGGACCCACATTGCTCTTCAAAAACAATCAACCTAAGAATGAGAACTTTTTGAGAGATCAAATTAAGGAGTAAGTCCATTCAAACCTATAAATCCACATAGTTACTTTCAGCAATGCATGGACACATGCTCTGGAGAACTTGCAGATGGGGTAAATTACCTCTACATGCACAGTATCCTCAGCTTACATTAACCCATTGAAGAACACGTAGGGAATGTAAGGTAAGTTTTGCTGCAATTTTAGCAAAAGTTTTTTTAACTGGCTTCTTGGAGAGACAGGTAATTAGGAATGGTAACCTTTGGCTGAAGTTGGATGACAAATGCAGATAAAAGCACTGCTATTCCTGTACTTGGAGAGAAATTTACAAATGCTGAGGGAAAAAAAAAAAAATCTCGAAACTGGCTAAGCTTTCATCAGATAGCTATCTTCCATTAGATAGCTATTCAAGATTTTATCCAATATCAAAAGTAGATCTATGATTTGCTGAAGAACAAGAAGTATCTGAACTGAAACCCTCCAATCACTTCTATGGATTTAGCAACACCCGAGAGATTGAATCCAGCATTTATGGCCCTCCTGGCAGAACCCCCAATTTTAGAATACCCTAGTTATGACTGAAACTTTATCCTACATGTAGCTTTTCCAGGAGTAAGGCTGAACCCAATCCCAGAACAGAGACATTCACTATGAAGCAATAAAACATACTAGAGCACAGAAGAATTGTCACCACCATCTGGAAAAACTGAAGCTCCTAGCCTTGAAAGGGCTGCAACTGCCAAATTTAATGACTTCACTTAACGTCACACAAACAGTTCCTGGTTTACAATGACAACAACCTGTTAATTTATGTCTTCATCTCAACAAGACTAAATGCCACATTAGCAGCTTACAGGAAAAAAAAAAGAACCTAACTAAGTTACTCTCTTCTACATACATTTTATACAGCAGAGTTCTGGTATGAAAATACATACAAATTTACCAAAGGTAACCAAACCAAAGAAGAAAAAATATAGGGTGTTATTTACTTTTTTTAGGTTTTGTGTGGAGAATAAAAAAAAAAAAAAAAAAAAAAAAATGCAAGTATCTTGTGTTAGTGCTATTCCAAACATTTTTGCAATAGATTGCTTCTGAGTATCACATCAGTCACTAAAGCGTATTACATAAAAAGATGTTTTGGCCACAGAAAAAAAATCTGACTATTCCTAAAATTCTTGACTGATCTCTGGCAAACAACCTAACAGAACAACAGACAGTATGGCAGGCCTGATGTCCTAAGAGATGAATGTTAGTATTTGCAGAATTGTATAGTGAGAAACCAAGTTGTCTATTAATCTGGCACTACTTTCAACATAAAAGAGGCAAGTGTTATGATGGATGAATGAAACTTGAATAAACCATAATAGCTTTGCTATACTAGCCTCAGTTGAAACAAAAATACTAATTACCTTTTGGAAAGTAAGCAGAACCTTTGGTCATTAGGCATGGCAGAATGCTAACATCCAGGAGATTCCAAGCAGCTATGAGTCTTCAAACCAGTTAAGCACTCACCAGGTTCTGAAATTAAAAATAAATAAATAAATCACAATTCATAACCAGACTATGAAATTAATTGCTATAGGGAATTGTAGAGAAAACTATATACAAAGGGGTTCAAAAAGCAACTAAATAAACTCACAGAGGAGAAATCTACTAAGTGTAAGAAATTATAGTGAAACAAGTGGCAACGAAGCTACAAACTCCAATTCACAAAGCTCCCCCAGCCACAAACATCTGGAAGCTGGGTGCTATGCTTTAGGAATTATCATTGCATACTTGTGCCTAATAATCTGTCACTCCTACTTTGGCAGCTCTCAAAGACAGAATTCTGGGTTAACCAGTTCACTAGCCTAATCCAGAGCAACCATTCCTTATTTTATTTGCAATTACTATCACAGATATGCATCACTAGTTTTGTCTTATTTTCTTATTTGAAGAAAAAAAATAAAATATATATATATATATGGATCAGATGTGACTGCACAGCATTTAAAATTAATCAAATCCTAAATCTTGATTATTTTTTTTTCCTCCAGTCAGTTCAAGGTTTCTCCTTTAGGAAGGGCAGTTTCCAAATTGTTTCTGAAACAATTCTCCACCTTGGACTTTCTCTTTTGAAAATTTGTGGTAGAGCTAAACTTTCAATGGAGAAACAATGAGATGGAAAACTAGCCACAGTAACAAGAATAAAATTTATAACAATATTTGGAAACATTTTACAATGCTAACATTCACAGCTCTAATGCTTTTTAAGCTTTTGCAGATTTTGACAGAAAATTCTATAGCAGACTATTATTTCTGTGTGTGGAAGCATACACAGTAATGGATGTTTAAAATACAAATATTGCACAGAACGAGAACAGTACATGATATGCAGTACCAAGATAAAATGGATATCATTGCCTTGTAACTTTCTCCCATGCTTTTATTTTTTTTATTTTTTGTTTTTTTTTTTTTGCAGTCAGGAAGAGCTGGCTTATGCCCATCTCTGCAACCTTGGGAACAACCATGGAAAACCCCAGTGAGACAAATACTTCCCACTCTGGTGCGTGTGCGTGCTCTGTACCACAGTCCTGTCAGGTGAGATGTGGTGCTAGCAATACGAACCACACCTACCTACAGCAAAAATAAATTGGTTTTAAAAAATATTTTACTGAAGATCATAAAGTTCTGGTGAGGAAGGTCTCACCATCCCCACAGCGAGACCTGCTGGACATGGAGAAAACAGGCCTTTAAAACAGTTCTGCTGAGTTCTTCCTGTCAAATAAGATAACTCACCAGCTAAACTGCTTTCAAAGCCCTGGCCGTACTCTTTTGGTGTAAAGATTTTGGACAACAATGTTATAAATGAAGTCTCAACTCAATCTGAATTTAGTAATATTTATAAAAGAAATATTTATAAAAGGTATAAAAGCTATAAAAGGCAAGTAAACAGCGCTGGCTGTGCAGGGAGCCTACACTCCACCAACATGCACACACAAACATCAAACATTCTAAATATACAGAACATTGCTTTACATACTAAACCCGAGTATGCCTATACAATCAGAAAAAGTAACAAACAATCCTTTAAGTTCCATGACTTACTAAACTTGAGTACGCCTATACATACGTACAATCAGAAAAGGTAACAAACAATCCCTTAAGTTCCATGATTTAACAGTCTCCATTTTCCATTCCTTAATTACAAACAAGTCTCCATTTTCCATTCCTTTTGAACAATGTCTTGCTTTAAGTTGTCAAGCAACTCGGTCTTCAGGCCTTATGCATCCTGTTCTTCCCAGATCGAAGAAAAGCATAGCCATCTCATTTTCAAGGCCATAAGACCTGGGTCAAAAGGCACATCCAGGTCAGCAGGGGGTGTAACAGCACTGGATGGCAGTAGCAGTGGGGGGGCCGATGGCGTAGCAGTTGGATCAGTAAAGGAGCCCGCAGCTCCCTCATCGTCTGGCAAACCACATGTTTCTGGCTGTGGTCCCACGGGGCTCTTTAAGGCTTCAGAGACTGCTCGCCAGGTGCTGAGCAATCCCACTGCAACCTTGTTGCTTTTAGTTGCAGAGTCCCACACCTTGACCTCAGTTTGGTCCCATATTTCAGGATCATAAACTGTCCAATTGTTAATAAGGAGAATAAGCTGTAAGGTTACCAGGACAGTCTTTGTTTCTAAGGACATATTATTCCCCATAATGCACAGCTGCTTACCAGCGAGGGGCAGTTGTGTGCGCAGGTCCACTTCTGTCACCTTGAGCTTCTTCCCAGCTCTGGTGTGCCCATTTCCAGCAACTTTCTGTACGAGATTCCCTGAACGGTTTGCTGAGTTTGGCCGAACCCATCTTCATGAGGCGATCAACGTGTCTGCTCCTGTCGTGGTCTCCGTTCTGCTAGCCTGTTCGTTTTCATTCTTCTTTCCTGCTTCTTTATTGATGACATAACTTCATCGTGTTGCCTCTTTTTATCTTGAGGGCAGGCTCCCCTCTTATACCCTTCTCCCCACAGCAGTTCTTTTCAAAACAACTTTTCATTGGTCAAACAATTTTGCATATAACAACAGCAGCAAACACCCAGAAACTTCCATGCCTGGAATGTTCTCCATGGCTGGAGAACAAGCAACCCAAGACTGCATGGAGTCTCCTGAATCACCCTTCTTTGTTCCCTCTAAACTCTCTTACATTCCTGATGGCCTCAGCGTTAAGAGTCTAATCTTATCATCAACCACGGGGCTTTCCAACCCCCATGGCCAAACTCCCACATCTCTCCCTTCTTTATTAATATCAACCATTTTCTCAACACGAATTACCACTCCATATATAACAACAAGGAAGCAACTTAATTTTCAGTTTAAAAAAAATGATTTCTTGCCATTACCAAGCAGTGAGGTTCACCACAATATTGAGCAGACAAAATTGCCCACCTGATGATTCAATTTAATATCACACTGCTGGCTCGCTGCTTCATTTATTTAAATTGTGAATCTGATTAATACTTAGGATACTTACATTTCTTGTTAGCTTAACAAAAAACAAAGTGACTTGAGTTTAATGATATGTTTATTTTTAATTTTGACTTGCTTGTTACGAGCCACAGGAAAAAAAAAGCAGAGGATTTCTTTCCATTTTCTTTCTGACTGCAACTTGTGCTTGAATCATAAGGATGAATAAAATTGCTGAAGTTATCTAGGTACCACATGATTTTCAATAACCCATGCTTCTCTTTCTTTACATCCCTGAAAATGTCAGTACATCTCATGATGCATACATGAAATCAACAGCAACTAACCAACTCCTCTGGTAGCCATCTTACTGCTGCATGATGAAACATAGCCCAGGCTGCTTTGGGTTGCCTCAATCTGTTATGTTTGCCTAATCATCACTTTTTTTCCCTGTTAAAAATATTATTATTCACAGAACAGAAAATAAAACCAATATTTGTCAAAAGTTCTTTAAGATGTGCTTCATGGTACAGTTGGTATTTGTTATGTAGAACTACAAAACTTCAAAAAAATGTATCGCAGGAAGGTCAGGACAAACAGAACATCATCAAATCCTAGATTAAACAGATACTAGAATTTTGATCAGGTGATACAAACAAAATTTTGAGTGTTCCCTGACTGATGACTTAATGGAGAAGTTACAAAATATCCCGTACTGAGTTCTTTCCATAAGTGTTTAATCTAGCAATTTGGTGCTAGAGGTTATATTTTTCAAAATAAGGAGACTTCCCCCTCTTAATTCCTTATAGGTATTTATCCTGCCACAGTGAAGTTTACTTATATGCATCTCGCTGTATTTGATTACATGAAAGAATATCACTCCCTGAAGCCCATAGCTTATCTCCACTTCATGCCATTAGTTTTTACTTACAGCAGCTTAGGATCAATTAAGCCAGTATATTTTTATTACATTAAGTAAACTGGATGTGTTGAATGATTTTGCTTTTACTTTTTTCTATTAATTGTCAGTTAAAGTAATTGCTACCTGTGAATCACAGAAGTTAACACTAATGTTCAACTACTGTAACATATTTGTTTTCCTGAGTGTATTTTTGTTTATGTTTGCCATAATTTCATTGCCATCAAGGTTAACTTCGCTTATTGATATGTTACAACAAAGCAAATAGTTTTCTACAGGTTTCAGTAAGTTCCCATTCACTTACTGAATACTCCTATTTAAGACAGCAAGGTATAGAAATACAACAGCTGTCACAGGTCAGCAGCTCTTATACATCCTAACACGTGCTACTAATGGAAATAAATCTGGTATATGAATCAAATGCCTAAATGAATCAAATGTCTGAAGTAAAATATCAGTTCAAAGGCAACTGAGGAAAGCACTCTCTACCTATGGTGGGCACAACATTCACCCCACTAAGCCAATGCTGCAGGCTTCATACAGACCCCAAAACAAATCATCACCCAGGTGGGAAACAAGTTAAACAGATCAGCTGCTCCACAGTAACATAACATATTTACACACCGCAAACCTGTAAATGCAGAAGGGTGCACCGAAGAGAAAGGATTGCTGCTCCTGCTGCTCTCAGGGAATGGGAGGGATTGAGGCAGCCCCTGCAGCCTCCTCCTGCCTGCCCAGCAGCACCCATTCCCCTCACGCTCCGTTTGACCCTTTGGTGGAAGCAGCAGTAGCAGAACTGAGCTCTGTAGGCTTCCGCACACACAGAAGAGTTAGCAAGATGGTGGCGACTTCTGTTTTCCTGAGCACTTTCTCAGACTCAGCCATCAGCCACAGAAGAACACAGAAGCTGAGCCACCTTCTTACTGCTATCACACCAGGAGACAGCTGAGTTGCAGCCCAGTGTTGATAGTTCACTCATTTCAGCTGCACCTCTCTCTAATAAGACTTCAAGTAATAAATTCTGCCCTCAGTTGCCTAACAGAAATCAGCAGGGCTTCCCAGCTGTAAAAGAAAGAATAAATTATTCCAATAACATGGATTAAGAGCTGAAGTTAAACCACTCTACCTCTACTGATTTCAATTGATTTACACCTGGGATTAATAGGCTATTGATGTTTGCATTTCAAGTATACATACCAGACCGTGACTTCAAAACAAAACCTTCCAGTTAACAAAGAAAGCAGAAACAAAACAACCTTGCTTGTAGAGCTGAGAAGAGTGGGACAGAAGGACAATACATCCCAAGCACACAAGGGAGGGGGGAAGCCTGGGAGAAGAGTCTTAATGAGGTAAATATATCCTAGCTTCCCTGCTAAGTAGGGAATCTTGAATAGGTTTCAATAAGCTAAGACTGAAGGATACAAAAGTAAAGAAGAGAGAGTAACAGCTGGAATGTAAAACACCATGTAAGAGATACCTGAGAGCTAGAAATCAAAAATCTCTGTTTCTGTGATAATAAATTGGTAAACAGAGTCCTCCAGCTGAACTGAAGCAGAGGTCAGTGCTCTAAACTTGGTTTATGAAGTGATATTCTTCAACGTTTTTCCTTCCCAGTGGACATTTTGTACACTGGCATAGTTAGAAATGTTTTCCCTTCTCCATCTGTTGCATAGCCTGAGACAAAGGTTGTCTTGGTAAATAAGAAACACGCATCTTTCCTTCTGAATGCCAAGAAACTACACAGGCTAATTCAAGAGGTAAGAGGAGTTGTTTTACTTCACAGCAGAGATGGATTCTCCAGCTAGAATCCAGCGTGTTTGTCTCTCCAGAATAGTGTTTGATATACAATCCACTCATAACTATCACATGCAACTCTTGATAGAACAGATAGCTCTGAAGTACTCCCTTGATAAAGCTTTTTGTAATTAACCCTTCAACAAGAAAAAGCTTATCAAGACTTTGCATATCACATAATGCAGTTTGTTTCCATTTTTTTCCAAAACCAGCATAAATGCATGCATCCTCAGGAGTAGGACTTGGCACTGATAGATGGAAAAATATTTGCAGCTCATTCTTATGCAGCCAGACCTTTAGAAAACATATTGTGTATTTCAGCAGCTCAAAATTTGATGCAGAGAAACTTACTGCATACTCAGATTCTCTGCTGAATTCATACCTGCCATTGTTAAAAAAGAGAATATGAGTTATAAAGCCCTTAAGCAAGGTGTGCAGAGGATTAATCACATTGCAGTCTAACTGGGCATTGAATGTCACCAGTGCTTCACACAAATAGTGTGCCGTGGAAAGTACAATTACTAGACTGCAGATAAAGCGATCCATAAAACGAGAAATCTTATCGTGTTTGGCAGTGCATTATGAAGCACTCACCATTAAGGGATGGGAATAAAATGTTTATGAACTAATTTATTCAAAACATGTTTGTAACTGTCTGTGTTGGTACTGTTTGATCCAAGAAAAGGTTAAGCTCATTTGGGCAGGAAAGACATAAAACCTCAAACTCTGAGCATATCCAAGTCAGGATATTTTTTTCTTCAAACTGAAGCAACATCAGAAATACTACCTGCAGTCAAATCACACAAATTCATTGCTCCCTGGTGGCTAAAAGAAACTCACTGTTTTTCTGCTTGTATTGTTCAAATATCTGTTATGTTGTGTTATATCTTTGTTTTTTTTCTGTTGTCATACACAATAGCACAGACAAGAAACCTACTATTTTCTTCCTTTCATTTTCCCTTTAAAAAAAAAAAGGAAAGAAAGAAAGAAAAGACAATTGGTGTTTGTTTGTGATCTCACTGATATAAGCTTGAACACCAACACTGGAAGAAATGCCAGCTTGAACAACGTGAATTTGAAAAAAAAAAAAAAAAATGCTGTTAGTAAGGAAAAGCTGAAAGGCATTACCTTCTGTATTCAACAAAAGCTGTAGGAAAAAAATCAAGCTCAGCAATACCAAGCAATAATAAAATAATGATTAAAAAATCTAAAACAGCTGCCAAAATTTAAAGTCAGAATGCAGGCTGCAGAATGTGCGTCTGGATAATAATGGTGTAATATAGAACTGAATATCTTCTATAAACCACAGCTGACCCTTCTGCAAAATAAAATGGAAAGGCTAATAATGCAGTTTAAGTGATAGCCTATTACATTTGAGAAAGCAATCTTAACTCCCTCAAGGTAATTAAAATTTCCTTCATCTCAGCCTGAGCAGTCACCGGTATGTACATCCAATACAAAGAAGACAGAGCAAGCTTTAAACCATAAAGGGTATTGAGCTAGAGCTACCCACCACCATGAGAAAAATATTCATTTGGCAGATTAGTAAGTTAATTATAACCAGGATAATATAAGGACATTCAAGCCAGTCTCACTCTATGTTAATGGACACAAAACTTCAAAAAGTGAGCTATGAAACAGGGGCAACCATATATAATCCAAAAGTAGGGGGATTTAGTCCCTGAAAGGGGGGCTAGGAAAAAAAAAAAAAAAAATTAGAACTTAATCTTGCCATTCTTTCAAGTAGGACACACTGTCTTCTTTCGTGTGCCCTCAGCCTTACTTCCAGCTGAATAAGAGTAGCAGGTGGTAAAGATTACAACTTTTAGGAAGAAAAAAATTAAGAGAGAAGGAATATTCTTTCTCCTTTCACTCTGAAAGAATGTGCCAGCTGAGGATATAACATCTGGTCTACCTGTTTCAGCATTGGAGGACAATTCCCACATAGGTACATAGGTAAAGGTAGTAGAAATTTTTCTGCTGGAAAATTTCTTTAGAGAAATAAGCTTTTTTTTTTTCTTTTTTCTTTTTTTGACAAACTGACTGAGTGAATCTGCTCTGTAAATCTGTATGGTTTTCTGATGCCTTGTTTGCCCCACAGAAAGCCTCCAAGATCCCAGCAACCTGAGCTCCCGGGACCAAGCTGAGTTACCAGCAGCCAAGCCTTCACCTCTACCACAGCCCAGGAGCTCTGCTGGGCTCTGCACAAGTTTTATCCCTTCCAGGGAGCTCTAAAAAGTTTCAAGAAAACAGAAGGGAGATGGAACTGTTAGTTTTTGTGTGGATAATTTTTTAATTCCTATAGATCGTGGAGGTCTAAAAAATGCACTTTTCATTCCCATTTTGAAAGATTTTCCTTTTTATTTTATGATTACCCTTATAACGTAGCTCTTGGCCTTGTAAATCCAGTTGTTAAATGTGGCACAAGAGTGGACTCTCTATTTGCTAAAAACAAGGATGTCTAAGAAATACTGACACTCCAACCTTATTCCACAGGGTTCATTTTCATACAGCGTTGTCACATTCAGGAAAATCATCCTTTTCAATTTCACAGCAGATTTCTCTTTACTAGAATAGTTTTGTCACTGTTAAATCAATCCAAAATACACTGAAAATTCTGAAAATTATAGGATTTATCCTGTCCTAATTCGATCTTGCTGTTTCTATTACTTGCTCTAGCAACCGTGGTAGCAGACTTATAAACCTGGTGTATGCATTCTACTCAGAACAACCAATTCCCATCCACGCAAATTATTAGGTAGAAGACAGACTTCATTGGTAGAGATTACAGCTTAAACAGACATACATTATCTACAGAGGAAAAAAGAAAATGATTTCCCTACTGAAAATTGACAAAGTGTATTATGTTCTTGCTTAGTGACAACTTCTTTCACTTGGAAAAGTAGTAAATGTATGCTGTAAATGTATATTATTAAAAGTCACATGGCCCTGGAAGTGACTATCTGAAAGAGATTAGGGACGTCAGAAAAAATCAGGCATCTGAGGAAGAGAGAGCATTACCGTACACAAGCACAGGGATGAATGAGGCAAAAGAGAGCTAGAGCAAGTGTTAAGCAGAAGAGAGTGGGACATCAAAACAGAAAACTAGAGCTAGATTAAGACAAAAGAAAGAGTATTTATTGAAAATATTTTTATGAGATTTTTTTTTCTGTGTTTTTTTTTTTTTCTTTTTTCTTCCTGTTCAGGCCACTTACTTTCTTTATCAAAAGAAGTGGGGAAAACATACAAATATTCTAGGTTCTTTCTACTGCAGTTATTTCTGATTTGATAGAGAAAGGTATGCCATTTTTTTCCAGCATACTACTAAATAATACTTAGCTATCCATCTATCTATCTTTTATGTAGCTCTTGGTTACAGAATTGGCAAAATTTTCTCTTCTTTCTTACAAAGGCTCACTTTTTAAAATCTCAATTTCTGTTATCTGATTTCCTTTGAAAATAGAATTCCAGTTCTTTTTACAGCTCCCTAAAATATTTGTTATGAAGTCAAAACATCTGCAAGCCATTTCACATCTTTTCAACATAAGGCAACTCAATGCTTAGAACAATATAACAGGTTAATACTATTAATTTGGCCCAGCACTACAAATGCCATAGTGGGACATGTCAGCCCAGTAATACTCAACTATGTGTTAAATGGAAACGTGTAAGTTCAACTGACCCCCACACGTGCAGATGAAGATGGGTTAAGATTTGAGATCTGATTAAAGAATAGCATTTACTTTCAGAAGAGGCTCTGAAAGGTCACTTAAGCAGGAGGTCCCAGAATACAACTTGAAGATGAAGCTAGTAAATACAGACTTTGTGATGTGAGTGATACCTAAGCTTTTCCTTCCTCTCTTTCCCCCCATAACATACAAAACCCATTGCCACAGGGTAGTCTGACTGCTTCTCTCTGGCCATCTTCTGCACTGGCTGAGGTGGAAGCTCAGCAGACAAGGTGATGCAATGCTGCAGCAGTGCTTGGGCTCTGCCTCCCAGCAGAGGCTTGTACTCAAAAGGACTGTGCTACAAAAGAAATTCCCCAAACAGTAGCTACATAGTAACATTTTATCACTGTAGTGTAAAACACATGCTGCTGCTGCTACAAATATAGTACCGTTTTGCGGTTTTGTTTTGAAAGATTAAAGCTATGAAAACACTGGAAAGGGCAGAAGTAAAGAGGTGACTGAAAGGCTACAAGACTTCAAATGATGGCAAGTAGGGACGTAGAATGAGGGCATGGTGAAACTCAGCTGTGACAGAAAAATGGTAGGCCATTGAGCCATGCAATATAATATCTGCATTCAAACAATCCTACACCTAATCTGCAAGGCTGAAATGCAGCACTTAAAAAAAAAAAAAAAAAGAGGCTTGGACCATTTTCTGATAAATTAGGTGGTATCCTAAGTGAAGGGCATATAGATCTTACCCTTTCTCTAAAAATCTTTCCTCCAAAGTTTGTTAACTTGTTTTTGGTATATTAAAGATTTATTGTTGTTATAAACTCCTGATTATGTCTCTACACAATGGGATATAGACTTTTCATTAGCTACCATGAATTGGAATACTTACCTGATAAAAACTGCATCTACCACAATGAGTTGTGGTGAATAAAAGCCTATGTAACTATCTGTTTATCTGCTCTTCAAATTATGTGTTGGAAAAATTGAGTTCAAGTTCTTACCAGGATTAGCAAAGGACAATTTGAGATTGAAAGCTGATCCTGCAGGTCTCAATGAATATAGTACAAATTTAGCTCATACAGAATGTAAGCAAAATAGAGAAACAGCTTGAAAGCTATGCACCATGTAAAGAAAATCTGAAGTTTTGTAAATTAATAGAGCTCCTTTGTTAATCAGGGTAACCCACGTGGTTTACATATTGTGCATAGCACACCTGTACCTTCTTTTTCTACTGCAAGTTTCTTTCAAACAAACAAACAAAAAAAAAAAAAAAAAAAAAGGACTACTCATACTACATAGTCTTTCCTAAATGTATAAAGTTGCAAACCCCAGTTATTTTTGAACAACTCCTTAAAAAAAAATAAAATCAGAACCTAACAGCAAGTGAAATTCTTTTTGGACGGTATGTAGTCTACTTATGTAGAAGAAAGAACTCACCTCAGAATGAGCAGTGAAAAGCATTCATAAATATTTAATGCCTCTTATTTCCTTTTCTTTTATGGTTTTCCTATATTTAAATCATATAGTTATTGTATTATTAGTGTCTTTCCTTTTGTTCTTCCCTTCAGTTCAAAATGCAAAGATGAAGATGCTGCAAAATGACAGTTAATTGGCAGATTCCAAGCACAGAGACAAAGTGCATATCAACATATAACGTGAAAAGCCTCTAATACTCGGTATAAGCAAATCATAGATGTGTCAAGAAATGTTAGGCTGACAGTTATACAAAGAAACTAATTTTTCTTCCATAAAACAGCAATGACAACCTCCACTGACTACAAAAGCAAAATCCATCAACATTGGACATGCACAGCATTGCTGACATGAGTACAAAACCTGTTGATACTGCTGGGACATCCAGCTGCTTACCACAGTCTCATTTCTCAATCTGCCTTGCTGCATAGTCTTTCTAGAGTACATTTCTTATTTCTGAGTTTTCATCCTCATTTGTTACGAACAGCATGAGTAGCTGTGGGCAAAAAATAGAATGGACACAATTCTTCTCAGTACTTTTACACTGTGGTGTTTTTGCTTTACTTTAGCCAAATGTAAGAAAAGAATCCAAGGACAGGGATTTTGTCTTGTTTTGTTGGTTATCTTTGGACTTGGTGAAGAGAATTAGCAAGACCAATACTTCACTTGAATTTCTCAAGTACAGACCTCAATCCTTCAAGCTGATCTGCCCAGGCAGATCTTTTCCTCCAGCTCCATTTATGCCTGAGAGTTCTTCTAATGCTATTTCAAATAAAGTATTTTAGAAAAGGAACTGGTCTGCACCAACTCTTACACTATCTTAGATGTCTTTTATTTTTAATGCATATGAGATAATTAATTTGCATATGAGATGATTAATTAACTTAATCAGATAGTTAACAATTTCTCTACAGTCATGTGATTTTAGCTACAAAATGCATGAGCTGCATTTTATTCAAATGTACAGCAATCTTCCACCCAGCCAGGAACTGAACTATTCTTCCCAAACAGAATGTCTGAAATTTACTTTTAATGTGAGCAAGCAAAATCTCTGTGAACTAATAAATCTATCATCATGTCCAAGAAAATATAACTGTTCTAGCAGTTGCTGAATCTCAATGAACAGACAAATGTATTAATACCATCTTATCTCCCAAAAAAATCCATCTGCTATTAAATCTTTAGAAACATAAATTTAAAATGTGCTAGTTGATGCCTATATCAATTTTATGACACCAAATTTTCCCAACAACAAATATAAAAAGCATGGCACTTTTTCAAAGTAAGAAGTCTCAGGACACTTCTAGAGTAGATGTACAAAAAAATCAGCTGTAGTATTCAAAGCCAGCCAAACAATTCAATGTGAGAATAAGAGAAGTGTTGGGTTATTTGATTTAGAAAATGGCAGCCTGAATAAGTACTTGTTGGTATGAACTCAGTTTGCAAAAAGGTAAGTGCACAAATTAAGTGTCCATGTCCAAAAAAGCACCTATTTAATATATAGTAAACAACTGTCACACTCGTGCTCGTATGCTTGGCTGACTCTGAGCTGTCGTTATTTCTGCACAGAAATCTATTGCAGCACATCTAAGGTAACAAAGAAATAACCTGCAAGTTTCTGACTAAGCAGAGGTAACACAAAGCACATGCCAAGCTGAATGCTACCTAGAGCGACAAATTGCCAAAGAACGTAAAACAATGCCCCCCTGCTTATTTTGTCTGCAGTCCTTCCTATAGAGCCCTCCCAGGTTCGGGATGTAAGGCAGTAGATACCATGTGCAAGCAAAGTGTTTGAGGGGATTCCTCATGTCTATAAGCAACGAGGAATCCCCTCACCCTTTGTATTCCCCATGAAAAGGGAATTGCCTGGCAGCAGGAAATGGAAGGGCACTGTTTTATGGCTTCTTCAGACAGAATACTATGCTACATCTGCTTCTCAAGGAGGAATTGCTCCAAACAAAATCTTCATCTTTGGAGACAGGAAATTTCAATTTGATTGTCTTGTTAAGAAACCTTGACTGAGCTCTGCAATACAACTACAAGTAATTACAGAAAACCCAAGCCACGGAAAATCAAACTAAGAATAATTTAGACCATGCTGGGATCCAGGTGAATCCATGATACTGTGTCAAGGCCAAGTACATGGCTTTACAGACTGTGGGAAATATGTTCCTGTGTTACTAATACAGACAAAGCCATACTAATCATTACTTCAGCCAAAGATTTTGATATAGAAACTGTGTACAGAGTGCAGAGGAGGAAAAAAAATTGTCCAAATCTAATCAAAGTTTAATTTGAAGTTTTCGAAGGGAGAAAGTGGAAGACAGTTTGAACCTACCACTTCAAAACAGACCTCACAACTTTAAGTTTCCAAATGTGATTAAACAAAATTCCTGTATGGTAAAATTTAAAGTAAAAGCTGTGCTTTGTGTTTCACAAGGACTGCACCCACTCTATTTCCAGATTGATAGAAATCAGGGAAGGACAATATATGAAAATAGTATTTTCCAACTAATTCAGTAAGCAGAAAAAAATATTAATACTATAATGGTTAATTCAAGACCTCTTTAAAAACATGGAAAGTCAGAGACCTATATAAAATGTAGGATGAATATAAAGCACAGGACTGAAATCAAAAGGCCAAGATGTCAATTGACTAACTTAGATGCAGGGAAAGATTCTATAAATATTGTAAAATACAGAACCAAAGGAAATTACAGGTCAACTGTTTCACAGGGAAAGCAGGCAAGTTGATAAGGAAAAGGCTGACATACCAAATAGCTTTATTCTTTACACAGAAGGTGCATTGGAACTATGTATTTTAAAAGTGAACAGGAATGTTGTCTATATTAGGGAAATTATAAGTTAAGGAAAATTTACATAAATTACACATATTGTAGTTTGCAAGGCTTGATTAAATTCAGTCTTAAGGACTCAGTAAACCAGATGAAACAGTCTCAAACTTCAAGGAATTTTTCTAAAATTCACAGTGGACTAGAAGAAGTCTCAGGGGACTGAAGAAGGATAATTGCAGCACTATCTTTAAGAAGGAGAGAAAGAAGGAACTGGTGAATTGGACACAGCCTAAATTTGATTCCTGGAAAGATTCTGGAACGTATTACTGAGCAATTTATAAGCACCTCAAGAATAATAAGATGATAAAAAACAGATGACATGGATTTGTCAAGAAAAAAAGTTGTATCAAACCAGTATAATTTATTTCTTTGACAGAGCTGCCAGCTAATGGATAACAGGGAACCAATAGATCCAATAGATGTGATAAACATTAACATTACTTTTTTTTTTTTTTTCCTGGTAATATTCTCTATGGCAATCTCATAAGTATGCTATGGAAATCTGGTCTGGATTATTTCTTTGTAACATGGGAGAATAACTAGTTGAAAAAACTCACAATGCTAGTTTTCTGCAGTTCCATGTCAAAATGAGAGAGTAATTTAGAAGAGGGAAAAATAAAAATAAATAAATAAATAAATAAATTTTTAGTAATTTTTCATTGATGATCTGAATGATAAACAACATGAAATATGAAGACTATGGAAACCAGAAAACAAAATTTGCAGAAAACAAAGCTTAATAGCGTTGCAAGCATTCTGAATTCATTCAGCTGTATTTCCAGGATAATTTTTAACACTTACAAAAATTATTCAAAATTAGAAGCTGGAATCCATGAAGACAGAGGGAAACATTGTACTTAGTATGAAGAAATCTAATGCCCTAATTTCCAATATGACGTTGGAAATATCTGCCTAATTTGTGAAAAGGCAAGTTAATCATAAGCCAAGTATGGAGTTAACAATTAAAAACACAGTGTAAAATTGTGAGATTCATCTTCAAATACATTAACTGGAACTTTATATGTAATATGGAGGTAGTTATTTCACCTTACTAACTGCTTTGAGCCCTCAGATATAAAGTACATGGCCCTGTCTTGGATACTGACTTTAACAAGGACACAACAATTCAAAAGGAGACTGAAAAACATACAAACAAGTTTAGAAAAACTGTTATCTGGGACTAAAGCTTGAAAGAGATTGACCTCCTTCAATTTCTTCTAGAAAAAAAAAAAAAAAAAAAAAAAAAAAGAAAAAGGAAAATTTGTCAATACTTAGAAGGTTGTTGTAAAATGAAATGGTGATCAACTCTTCTTGTGTTAGCTCATAAAGAGAAGAAAATATTATATCAATTTGAA